CTTTATTCAGTAAGTAGCTGCACTGAATTAAATGGGACTACTCATGATATAAGCTACTAATCAAAGCAAGGATTATCACAGCCTGCCCTTAAATGAGCTGCACTCACTTTGCGAGTGTTTCAAGAGTCATCAGTATGCCTTTTTAGGGTCTTCATTATTGATTTTTAATATAAATCTAATTGGGAACCTCAGATTGCTTTTGATTTGATCTTTTTCGGCAGAGACTTAAACCCTAAAGGAAACTAGTCACCTCTTTGATGCATGTGCCAAGTTGCAGTCAAACTTCAAAGGGCAAAGGATACATTTTGAATTTCCTTTCAACTTTCCCCCATTGGCCCAGCTGCCACCACATTATGAATTATAAACAATTCTATTTTGCGCTTGTGATTATACTTCACATTTCGTACGAGAATCTCAAAGTGTATTACAAACTTCAATTAAATAGAACAATACCCTGATGAGCTCGGTTAGCTATAGTTAGAAATTATTTCAACACCCAATGAAGTTTAGTCGTTTGGGGGATTGCAGATAGTTCAAGCAAGTCAAGGGAGTTCAAACAGAGAGGAGAAAAGTGCCTGTGATAAAAAGGGCGATGTCAAGAAACTAATCAACACCTTGCTTGCAGAGTGTTTACCATCCTTAGCCTTTTATGTGAAAGGTCATAGTATCAGGAATTCAGAGGACCAAGAAGCCAAACTTCAGGAGGAAATTCTTTATCCACTTCTCGATACAGATTCCAGCTGAGCCTTGCTAATAGCAAACAGTAAGTGGCCATCATCCAGAAAAGGATAAAAGAAGACATTTTCTGTGAAGTCGTCCAGACTATGACTATTAGTAACACTTCTGCAACAACTCCAAGCAGTGACAACAGCCTGAACAGCAGGGGTTTGGATTAGCAGTGGCAAACCCCGTACCCAGATTGGAAGGCTCTCCTGGGGCATCTTCATATAGATATACGTAGGCATATCTTTGAGAGGCCTGTCAAAATCAAAATATCTCTGGAGATACAGGGCTTGAGTCTCACTCACTGCTGCTTATATAAATGAGGATCCTCAGGCCTGCTTCTCGTTGCTATTATGGATGACAGTTTCTATCAAGATTTTTTTCCTTCGCATGTCTGAGGCTCTTTTAAGTATAAAATAGCTCCTGCGTCCCTTCGTTTCTTCTTGAGTGTTAGGTAGGCAGGATCTAGTCTGGAGGACTCATCAGCTGGAGATGTTTGCCTTACTGCTTCCAAAAAAAGAAAAAAGACAAGAGATTTTTCACAGGTGAGGAACGTTCTCCTGCCTCGGCCAGGGCTCAGCCATGAGCTCACCCCGGCGCTTCTGCACAACAATTCACAGGGATAAGGACAGAGTGTCACCACATTTTTGCTTTTGCTTTCACCTGGTGTTGAGGCTCCAGTTTCAGATCTGGCACTTGCACTTGGTACCGCGCCAGAAGTGTGGCTACTAAAATAGAGCACAGAGGAGATTTGGGTTTTTTTCTGCTATTTTCAAGGGCGAAGTGGAAAATATTTTGATTTTTTTCAGTGCTTTCATCTGCAACTTTACACATGCATAGCAGTGCCCAATAACATGGCAGACTGTGCCATCTCTTTGCTGTAATTACAAGCATGCCCCACTCCTGTCTGCAATGTATAGTCAAAAATGTCGGTGGGAAGTACAGGGCCAAGAAATCAGAGGATATGTCTGAATGAGCAAAGTACTGAAACAATTTTCAGTAGTGCAGACATGCATATGAGTTTGGAGGCTCTGTGTCTTGTCTTTCAGTTTGCTGTCAAATGGCATTGATGCAATCATGAGTGTGAAGGTTAGAGTGATGTTAAGTAAAATCTGAAATCTTTTAGTTAAAGCTTGGTTTTGTTATTCACCTAGTCTTTGGACTAGGAAAAATCACATTGAATCAGCATTAGCAAAGATAAAAACCCAGCTATTTTCATTTTAAGTTCAGCAGAAGCAGAATCTGAATAAATACTGGCCTCTGCAGTTCCCCTGAGATTAGCACTGGGCTAATCGGATGGTTTGTACTGCCAGACTCATGCCATGACTTCAGACACTCAAGCTAAATTCAAGGTTACATAAACTCTGCTAACGCTAATCTGGGGGAATCTTTAACCCAGAAAAGTAGCTGAGAGGTGGCCAGGAAATGTCAAATGCTTGCCCCTTTCTTTGTTCAAGGAGGACAGGACAAAACAGCTACTGAGAAAAGGAATTTGCATTAGCTCCCCACGGAAGTGCTTTTTATTCCATGCTGAGAAGGCTTTTTTCGCCATCAACTGGAAGTGGATTAACTTAAAACTGAAAAAGGAAACTTTTAAAATAGCAAATATACAGATGAAAAGCCAGTGAAAGAGAATTACTGTGCTTTAAATTCACACCTTTGCTATTAGCAATAACATCTCGGTGACTTTGCTTTAGAAAGCCTGCGATTATTGTAGTTCATAACCATACTCAGAGATAAGGAAAAAAATTATCTCCCACAAATGTAGCAACAAATGTTCATGGAATGATAGTCTTAAAACATTTTCATTTGATCCAAATTTTTGAACTACTTGCCTATATGCAACAGTATGCAAACACATGTCTCTAGCCATAGCCAATTTACCCAGTAGTACACGTAAACTAACACAACAAAATAATATAGTTTTCTAACTTGTTCTTCAGTCAGCTGCCGAAAATGTCAGTTACATAGATCCCAGAACTCCTCTTTTGATACTGTATTGTCTTTTGAAGAGTCAATATCTTTAAACCCTTCTGCAACTGTGTTAAAGCCAGCAGCCACTACTTCTTGTACCTGTGAGAGGGTGCCTCTCTCTGACAGCTCCCCAGAAGATTTAGGCAGAATGACTTTTTGCCCTTCGTCAGTCTAGACAAAAAACATACACAGAGAATCAGTAATGGATCCACTGAATAAATTATAAATCGCGGTGTGGCATTCAGCCAGTCGGAGAGGGAAAGGTCCGTGGAGAAGGCGGCTTTCGAGATCCCGCAGGCAGTAAAACCTGCTTCCAGGAACTCTGGCGTGCACCACAAAAGAGAAAAGGGGTTATGCAAGTAGTTAAGGGAAAAAAATAGACTCTCTATAAACGTGATCCAACTGGTGACAGGCCAACAAAAGCATAGGATTCCAAGACTGACCTAAACTTTTACAAAGGTCTAAAAAATTGGGCGATCTTACAAAAAGGGCTATTCTGTTAATGCAGAAAAAAGGGAAGTGAGTGCTAACTAGCCCAAATATCCCAAACGTATTCTTCTCATCTGAATAGACTTTAGCAAGCAGTGGAAATCTCTTTGATTGAAAAGGCACTTCAGTCCTGAGATGAAAGAGAGAGCAATTATTTCCCTTTCCTTTCTAAGTTCCAGGTATATTTACGGCGGTACTTTTTAATCCGGTCATCCACAGTAGGGATACTGCAGCTAAACGACGCAGTTGAAGGCTGCAGAGGCACAGAATGTGTGAGGGGAAAGCAAAGAAGGGGTTGGGTACAATTGTACTAATGCTAGCACTAGATGTGTGCCTTCTCAGTGTGTTGCTTTCAAATCTAACACCGCTGAACGGCTTTTAAAATCTGCCACTGGAGCTTATTACTGACTAAACTCCCATTATGCATTCTGCAGGGTGGAAATCCACACTTGGGGTAAATACAGTAGGATGTCACACAGCAAACAGAAATCAAAAGGACAAAATACAGTTGGTTGGAAAAAACTGCAGAGTAAAGCACTGCCAGGCTTTGGTATCAACATACCTAAGAATGCCAAAAGTCTAACTGTGCATGCAAAAGGCTACATTTCATAAAGTTAAATATCAATGGAATCTATTCAACATCTACTTTCTACCTCCAGAATTAGCAGTAATAGCAGTAAAGTTTTTAAAATGAAACCAAGTTTTACTTATAAAATTAGTCTAAGGAGTGGCACAATGTGGAATAATAATAATAATAATAAAAAAGCAGCATCAGAATTTTGAAGAAGAAATTACTTATTTTCAGGCATGGAAGCCAACTTGCTACCCACTGCACTGTCTAAACTAAATATGTAAAATATCTTGAAAGCAAAGTTTTCACAAGACAAGCGGCAGCCAGTTTTACTGTAGCTGTGGTAAGAGGTCCTGGTAAAAACCAAAAAAACCCAAAAATCTGTTTCTGGTTCAAAGACACTTCTTTACAGCATGTTAAATGTTACTAGCATATTTTATACCCCCATGTTTAAGCATCTAAGCTTTGCCACCTTCTTGCTCCATGCAATATGAAATACCAAAAAAGAAACAGATGGTTTTTGGTCCTGCACTCCTGTTTCCTTGTCACGTCTCACATGATCATTATAACCGGATAGAAAAGAAAATATGTTTCTTACAGAACTGCAAGAAACCTGCCTCCTAATCAGAAAAGACTCCACTGTCTTCAGAGGCATATAACACTTTTGCATTTAACCATGCCTTACAAAAACATACATGCAGGACAGGTATTATGGCTGCATTGTTATTAAGAGAAGAAATATGAGAAGTGGAATGGCGCATGCAGACGCAGGAGCCGGTCTGTGCCATAGTCAGGAAACGAGGATTGCTGGGCACGGTCCAGGGCAGGGTGCACCTTCTGCCTTCCTGACATTACCGCAACTAAAAAGCACTGTACCTCTGCTTTTAATTATTCTAATGAAACCAAAGGCTTAGGGAAAGTGTTACTGCCTTGCAACCTTTTAAAGAAACGTAATTTGTAGGTGCAGCTTTCCTCATTTGCTTGATTTCAAGAGCTTTTTGTTTATTTCGTAAGACCTAATGCAGTTTGATCTTAGAAGGTTAGAGAGCCAATAAAAAAATAATCACTTGCGCTTCTTGCAAACCGCAGATTGAAAACTAGAAAACCTTTTCTATTCGGTTACCGCATTACGTTCGTCTACTACGTGCAGTCAGTACGGTCAGTGTGTATCCATGACTCTATCATCTACAGCTGAAATAATCACCTTTAGCTGAAATGACAGAGCTGGAGCCTAAAATCTCAGACTCTGGACTGGGCATCTGGACATTTAAGTGCCATTTCTGCTTTTGAAACTAACCTTTACACGGTGTGGGTGCCTTTCTTAGCTTTGCTGTGTCTGACTTCAACCTCAGAAGTGAAAGGGAGCAACAGGAATGATGCTGGCTCAGAGCTGCACAGCGTGTGCCCTGGCAGTGCTCTCGGATCATTTACAGAAGAATTTCTGTTGGACAGAGATGAGGTTACCTCTCTTTTAGCAGTGTCCTCATATTCGCTGCCATGTGCTCCACTTGTCCCATCGAGCTCTGTATGCATATCACTTCGGAATCCAGGGGTCGGGACTCTACAGCCTGCTCCTGCTTCGTACCCCTAGACTGCCTCTGGGCACTCCGCGGCCCAATGCCAGCTGCTGCCGTAGGCTGTGAAGCCCAGATTACCTGCCTGTTCTGCTCAGCTCTTGACAGGCTTTCTCGCCCTTCCTAACAGAATTTGAGAGTGCCTTGGGAGGACCATGTAAATCCATTTTCACCTCCTGCTTTCACCAAGAGAGGGGAGGCATTATTCCGAGGCTTTTCTTATGGGCCATCCTACATAGCTCGCTTGCTGTTCAAAGCAGGGCTGTATTTTTCTTCTTTAGAAAGTTCCTTGCACAGCCTCATGTCCTTTTCTATAAATGGCATAACTATGCTGATTAGTAATAAAAGAAGGCTTCGCCACCCACACCTGCGTAGTGAAGCTCCATTCCTGCAGCTCCTTCCTGTTTCTGGAAGATTTTTCTATGAAGAGGAATTCTTAATTAGAAAATAAATCAGTACATCAAGACAAATTACTGTTTCTTGGGTCCTGCTCCCTGCCCTGTGACAAGTCTGACCTCCCTCCCTTTCTGGGGAGGCTCAAAAAGCAAAGGTCTTGGGAAACAGCTTACACAAGAAGGCACTTAGATCTTCCCCTGAAAAAGGATGCATTTTCCTCTTTGTACGTGAGAATGACCTTTGCCAGAAGTAATCATCCTTTTGACAGTTTACACAGTTTGAGAGGCTTCTGTGCTTAGCCCATGGGCCTTCCTTTACCCTAACAACATGTATCTTCAAGATGTTTTCCATAAATGTTCTTCCCTAAAGATGTGTGGAAGCAGCATTTAGTTGCCTGAGTGTGAATTGGGGTGGAAATGCATTTTCTTCTCATGTTCAGACAACCAGTAATTCACCAGCCAGCCTGTTCTAGCTCTCAGAGCCTCAGCTCTACAGAGAAGCTTGTATTGTATTTTATCCCTGGGTTACAAGTAGAGCTGTATCCTCATCTGGCAGTGATCAGTCTGGCTCCATTAACCTGAGCGCTGATTTACGCCTGCTGAGGATTTGATAGCCGGTGTGCAACAGGAGCTTGCAATAATAAACCCAATTATAAATAAAAGATGAAAACTCCATTGAGGGTCATTCTGTAATGTACCATTTTCCTCTTGACCAACTGTTTGCAACTGACAGATTCAAGCTTTGAGGTCACATTTGCAGGATAAAACACTCTTGGTAGTGTTTAGAATGCGTAATGATACATGATGGCTTGACAAAATGATTTGACACAACGAATCAAAGGTGGCCAATCTCTGCCTTGTCTAGAAAAAAAAGCCACATTCCCCTGAATGTAATTAAAATAACTATTGTATTAAATAATTATGAAATACTAAGCCTAGGTAAAACTGGGTAAAGAAGCAGGAGCTGTGAAGCTACCCTGCTCCGCTGTCTCCCCAGCAGTGTCTAGCCCACCAGCAGTACACCTGATGGTCTAATATAATGTTCCCTACTTTCCATCATCCCTACTTTCTCCTTTTCCTCTACTCTTAGTAACTGTAGAGTGAAAGGCTTCCATCCCAAGGAACAATTTACCTTTTTAAATTCCATTAGACCCTTTTCTTCATTACTGAAAACAGAGAAGATAGGGAGGCATGGCTTTGGCAGGTTTGTCACTGGGGAAAGATCCCAAAACAGATATCCCAGCACAATGAGGGACAGTACTTTGCAGTCATGGGTAGGGCACTGCATAGGAGAGCAGTGTCAAGGAACGGGAATTTTCAAATCAGTTTTGCTATGGATAGAGAAACGTGGAGTTAGGTCACAGCATAAGGAAAACTTTAATGTTTCTTAGCCTGAAGCAGATGTAATACTGGAAAATAGATGCAAACATGCAGGTATCCCAGAAGGGGTATTTCCCTGGAGCACAGCTGTTCTACATGAGGACAGACAAAGTTTGTGGTGCTGCTGACTGAGGGTAGAGACATAACCAGCCGGCCTGCTAATCTCTGCTGCTGGTCCAGTGAGTCATGACTGATCACAGTCAGTGGCCCAGAATAGGAGGGCCCAGAGATTCAGCAGATAAGGACAGTGAGTAATGAATAAACCTGTAAAACTCTCACCTCCAAGACAGGGAAAAGCATGACGTCTGTACAGCAGGTCCTTACTTATTCCTGCCGCAATTGCACAGGTAGATCATTGCAGCAAAATGAACTTCAGGTCCCCACACTTGAACGCATTGCACAACGGCTGGGTTAGGAACACTGCTGAATTTAGGAAGCAAGGTTGAGGAAAGACTGAGGATGTCACTTCTCTGTTGCACGGGGTTTTTGAGCTCCGAAACTGTGTGATTACAACAGATACGCTGTAGAGTTGCACTTAGTTCATTTCATCACTTGCAGTGATGGGGGAGTCACAGCACAGCCACTCTGCGTTTGTGGAGCTGGTAAGCTGTGGCAGTGCTGTCCCCTCTGTTGATTTAAAATAGTTTCCAAGACTGAAAGGAAGCTGTTTTGTTTGCATTTTACAGGAAGGGGTTGTAGCAGCCACTGCTAAGAGCAATGTGACATGAGAGCAAGTGGTTTTAGCTCTGTAGACTTCTCACCAACAACATGCCCAACAAAGATGGAGGCAGTGATGGTGTACCCATGCTTTTCACTAGTGCATAGCAGAAACTAGTTCTGAGGCCAGGACTCACAGTGCCAGACTTCAAGAAGAGATGTGAACTTGCTATACTGAGGGAATCCTCTCATGGTACTGGTCCAAGGATAAGCAGGATGCTGTCTCTGTCAAGAAGAGCATCAAGGATGGAACAAAAAAGCCTCCAGTTCTGCAGGCAGGTTGATTAGATGGAACTGACTGAAAACAAAATGCACTCAGCTGGTGAAGAAGGCACTCTGCAGCATGAGACAGGCTGCAGAGGAGAATTTAGTGTCAAAACAGAAAGTTCCGGGGGAAGCTAAATCAAATGCCTGATTTGGTATTGGAATGTTGTGCAAATTTTTCTGCAAAGAAGTCCTGGAAGACAATCTGATTTCCAAATGTCATCATTTTAGATGAAAACACATTTTTTTAAAAAAAGCTTTCAGAATACGTTTCTAGTCACTCCAGTAATTCCCTTTGTCAGCTGAAAGACACATATGTCAGCAAACCCCTTGTTATCTCAGTTCCTGCCCTTGAACAGGCACAAGCGATGATCTGTCCCTTCTCTCTGTCATCTCCTCCACTTGACCTGCTCTCTTTCTACTCATTGCTGGGCTTGACAGGTGAAGGCTTACTAAGCTGGCAGCAAATCACTCAGCACTCTTGGTTCCAAAAAGGCTAGACAACAAATTGTTCAGCCCTGATCATAATCCCTCCTTTTCCTATATACTCTAGTGCAGTTGTGCTGATCCTATATTGACATCTTGTTGCTCTAGACCTGACCAGCACACCCTAAACTATCTCTTTTTTACACGTTCTTTACTTTTTTTTTCCCTTTCCACATCTGAAATAGCTCACAGCAGGGAAAGATGTGAGTACATTTTCTTTTTGGAGGGTTCTGATTCCCAAGTGCAGCTTTCATTAGGTTGGACTGCTTTAGCCACTTATTTTAATGCAGAAGAGCTCCACTCCACTCCCCAAGACCGGCAGGCCACCCAAGAAAAGGTCATGATGCATATTCCCAGCTCCAGGGTCTGGACTTTCACAAATATCCTCAGAGAGTCCACTGGACAAGGTCCTCTCTGTCTCCTTCCTCAGCTCTTCTGCAGCTGGTTAGCAACATCCAAGCTGAGTTCTTTCTTATCTGAATATTAAGCTGCAATCATACTGCTTAAAATACTTCACATTTCTTTAGTTTTATTTTTGATAGTACAGCCCTACAGCTCTACAGAGCTGTATTTCGGTGGGCATCCTGCTCATACACCGATGCTGTAGTGTGTATTCTAGAGAGTTAATCAGAATGTAAAGCTCATCAACATATGTCAAAGCCATCAAAAGATCCACGTGACACATTAAACATTGAGAAATAATTTCCACAAGAGTTTTTTCATCTTCCCTTATTCAGCTGTTTTCTAGGAAAAAGTACAACTTAAAGCTATAGGGCTTTTGGGTTTATGAATGTTTGCCTTTGTGGTTGTGGGTTTTATTTATGAGGTGCCATTTGAGACAAAAGTCATCCCAGACCCATACTTTACTAGTTCACTAAATTTTCCATACTTTAATGATCAAGCTGCATACTTTACTTGTTACTTTTTAATATACTTCAGTGATCAAATTGTATAGCATAATGATCAGTTTTCCTTACGTGCCTGAATGAGTTGCATACCTCATTAATTTAGATCCATACTTTACAGGCCAAAATCGTAGTGTGTTTGGATGAAGTGAATAATTTAACAACCAGCCTTCTCTCTGAACCTGCACAGGAGCCCAGGAATACATGGGGACCCAGGGTGGGAAGAAATTGCAAAGGCGTGGGAAATTTCGAGTTGAACCCAAAATGAAAACATGAGATTTGAGAGCATCTGGAAGCTGAACTAGCACTGTGAACCTGGTTCGTATTTGGTTTGTCTTTTCAAAAATGTTCCCTTGTGGTTTAATTTGGGATTTTAATGATGGATTTATCCCTTCTATGCCTAACGCAACACAGAAAACTCTTCAAGGTGAACACTCAATGTTGAAAAAAGCAGTACAGGCTCCAGTCGTGTCACGGACCAAGTACCTCTTGAAAGATGTGGAGGTAGCTTATTTTTTGGCTAAATTGAAGTGGAAAGTATTTGGGGTCTTGGAGGACTAACTGTTAAATAGACTTCACGTTAAAGTGTACACTCCTGCAGAGTTTGATCCCAGGAATTGTGCAGCTTGTCAAGTTGTTAGGGAGACTTAGCACCTACTTGGAGGATGAGAAGACGTCGCAGCAAACCCCTCCCTAACAAAAGCAGCTACCTATTCTAAAGTTAACATGAAAGCTTGCTGGCGGGTCAACATCACAGCACAAAAATACCTTCTTAAAATACTTCATACAATCAGTCTTTGTGCTGATATGACTCAGTTGAAACTTACTGAATTTATATAAGCATAAAAGCAGGAAAGAGGGAAATGCGGCATTTTCTAACCTATACAAAGTATTCCACTGTTTTACACTTGAGAACCATGTAATCTATTATATCTGTTAAGACTGCATTTTAATTTTAATAAGCTGAAAATATAAATATTTTAAAATCCCCAACTATTGTAAAAATAACTATAATTAAATGTAGTCCTGCCACTAAGGACAAAGTAACAGTTGCACTACTATAAATATTAATGCTAAATTTACAGAGAATAAAATACATTTAAGCAACCTTATAAAATTTTGAATAAAGCTGCACTTACAATAAGCACTTTGGTAAAGCTATGCCTATTGGTAACTGACACGCATAGATAAAGTCTCTAACCTGATACAAAGCCTGTAACACATTACGAACATTTGGAGCTGTTTATGGGTTCTCCTCCTTCGTTCGAAACCTGTGGTCCCTCATCATCCTCCTCCTCTCGCGAATCGCTCAAGCCCTGTGATTATTTGAAGCCTGACAGACTTTGACTTGGGACATGAAGAGGCTGAGACGGATCTCACTGGTATTCCAGCTTCTAGTTCTACACAAGATTTAATCATCGTGTAGCTCTATACGGATTTGTTTAGCACAACATTCTATTATCACCATGGCAATAAAGTGGTAGGCTTTTTATATGGTTTTCCATTGGGTGATGATTATTATTTTTCTCATTTTATTTGTGCTTCGAGCGTATACTTTTGAAAATGAAACATAGTTACTTCTTAGAACATAAGATGCAAGTTAATTTTTTTTTTTTTTTTTAGAACTGCTTTTTATCCCACTAGTAACCAGCTTTCACATCCTTAGCCAAGTTCAGAAATGAGCTGTAAGGTAATGTCATGTGGACTTCTGCACCCTCAGATCTACTTACACCCACTCGCTGCTGGGTAAGGCAAACTAAGAGGGGAGAAGCCAGAGGAAAGGTAAGGACTGTGGAATTAAAATAGGACAGAGACTTCTTTTACTTACCTCTTTTGATAATGTTTCTGTTATTTACAAACACGGTAAGGACTGCTGCACTGATAAAAGAGTGTGACTATGAATTGAAGGATCCGTTCCTGCAGTCTGCACCGAATGAACGACTGCAAGTGAGGCAGTGTGGACACAAACCTCTGCCACAAAGAAACAGCAACTCTAGTTTCATTTGAGTTGTCACAATGTGCATATTCAGAGCATCAGAAGACTCTGTCCACAACTGTCATCAGATTTTCTCTGTACTTGACTAATCTCTGCATTTGACCTTCCTGCTACATCTACACTGCTATTGCTGCTTGGCACCAAGAAGCTGGTGGGCTTCCCACTCCACTTATTTTTCTGTCCAGCCCCTACCAGTCCATCTAGACAGGTCAGAGTTCATCAGGAATATTTGGATATCCCATGTCCTACATCACCCAGTTGGGGCAATCTGGCTGCATCCATGGTCATGCTTTCCGCTTGCCCCATGTACAGACCTAAATCTACAAGAGTGTGAGACTTAACTTCTTAGAGCAGTTTGTAAGGAGGTAAGGATTTCATGGAGTTCAATGAAAGTCAACAGAAATACATGCAAATTTCATATGCTTAGTTAGTCAGTCAGTTCTAACACATCATATCATATCTTTATAATAAATATATTATAGCCTGGTAGCTCTTCTTACCTCTATGAGGTCGTTTATGTTTTTCAGGAAAACTTTCAGTCTACTGTGAAGTCCTCACAAAGGTTAAGGTTCTTGAGAAGGTGCCTAAACTGCTTGTCTGATAATTTAAAGCAGAAATGGTCAAGTACTTGCTGAAATTCCAGTGCTTTAATTACTCCAGTGTCTTCTGTATCAAATAGAGAAAATGCCTGAAAAGCAAGAATTCAAATTATTTAAGCAAACCTAGGCATTCCAGAAGAGAAGGCTTTTTTAGCAACTATTTGACAGTTAAATGGAAATATCTGAGACCCATATGTCTTTTACTTGCAGGTATTTTATACATGAAGAAACAAAACACATTTCTCAGAACCTTACTTAGTTTGAAGCTTTCCTTTCTTCTAAAAATGAGATGCAATTGTTGAAATAAACCAAAAATAGCTTATATTTCTGTGTCACATGTGAATATAAATGTGGAAATAAACAACTTGCAGTAAAAGCAAAAAGGCATTATATCAAGTATCCAAAGATTCCAGAAGAGGCAGCGGTTAAGACAAGAGAGGAAACAAAAATATTTGAGTTCTGCCTTAAATAATTTAAATTAAAATATTTTTAATTAAACTCACCTGAGCATACTTAATTTGCCTTTTGTTCCCCCCACCAAATGACTGTCCCTGGCAGGGCAAGTCGATTTTCTGTTCTGTAAAGGACTCGATAGTCCTCCATCCTCATTAGCTTCTGCTCATCCTGAAGGCATACTTGCTCTCTTCTCACCATCCCTTGCACAAAATGTCCAGCCTATACTTCGTGGGAATTTTCCAAAGGTTTCCCAGGGGAAATGCATTAGGTTTAGCACAGATGCAGCAGGAAGCATGCAAGAGAGTAGATCAAATCAATGGCAGACACACCAAGAAAAGTTGTGGGTCATATCCACACTCATTCTGTCTGGCTGCTACGAACTTACCGTGCCTCCTTGTTTTATTCTACCCCTTATTTATGAGCCTGTACATATAAATCACTGATTCCATAAATGTAAATTGATATTACACCTTTCAAAACTTCAGGTTAAAGTCCTGTTAGTCTGCTAACACTATAGCATATTAGTGTAATACAGTGATTTTTGTTGTACCATTAGAACTGTTCTAAATAATGGGCTTAAAAATGTGTATTTAATGTATACGAACCATGTCTACTGGCAAAACAGGTGCCACCATATCCAAAGGACATTGGATAGGGATCTTTTGAAAACTAAAGAGGATTCTGTAACTTCCTAATGTGAAAGTTTGATCTTTGCTTATATACTGAAAGTCTTATGGGAAAAACAAAGCATTGAGTACATAGTATGCATTGTACCAAGTATAGTGAAAAAGCATGGGAAATTATTATTCTGACAGAAAGGACTCACCTGAACTCTTAAACTATTTATTGTGAAACTTCAAAGGTCTGTATTCAGCTATAGAAACATCATGGATGGGATATGGTGGGATTATTTTTTCAACTAGCTGGACCCTAGGAACTATGTTTTCGGATCTGTCTCTTGCTAACAAAATATTTTGTTATAAGCTCATGTCATTAAAGTCCCTCTTCACATAGATGGCAGTAATTGTTACTAAAAAAATGGCTCAGAAGAAAATTGAGAACTTCCTTATTTTCTCATGTAAGGGAAATGAGAAAGTTGTTTTCCATAGCATGGCAGACAAAGTCTGTCTCTCCATGGAGAAAATCCATTGGTCTCTGAAGTTATATTCAGAGATACCAAATGGTATCCTAAAAGACTAAATGGATGATTTTTTCATGCCAAAAGTAATTTTCAAATCACACCCTCATCAGACAAAACTGTGACCTTCTCCATTCCCAAGGCACCCAGGGATGAGACTACAGATACTGTCTTCTATTAAAATCTAACTAACCCTAACCTGTGCTATTGAATTTATCTTTTTCTTATTCCAATAATGCAGAGCGCAGGAAGGATTTTTTTCTCTCCTTACTATGCAAAATGTAAAGTAATGTTTCAGTATCTTGTTCAATAGTTAGCCTATCTATCTGGCCAAAAACGACAATGTGCCTGCAGTAAGTTTACAAACGTCACAGCAATCTCCAAGTAGCGCGAAAAGAGATTTCTGTAAAGAAACAGCATCTTCCATGGTACTACTCTTTTTTGGGGTCCCTGTACCAGTGACATCACTAGTGATGTCTTTGTTTGAAGCCTGTGTTATTTTTAACTGCAGGACAGAGTCCACAGATTGAGATTTCAGAAATGCAGCCAGTGATGATGAGGAAGTTCTACCCCCGTCGTCTTCCCAACCACTGTTCTCTTTACTTGTCCAGGCAGCTCCTCTCCCATGGCCACACACAACTGATCAGGCTTTTGTCAGGCTGAAGTTCCCTGAGCCGGGTCATTGGGCAGGAAGACAAGGACTGGTTTTGACACAAGGCAGGCGGGAGGACCACATTGCTGCGGATACGGGGGTAGCCAGACCATCTTTGCAGGCATAAGCCCACCTCTAAAGCTATGAGCTTAAACTGGACCCGAAACTGCAGGTACAGATCAGATGGCTCTACAGTTCTTCGTGATTGCTGTGTTTCCTTCAAGGTCTTTTTGATTATTCTTTCCCACGCTTGAAAACAATCTCACTGTGGCATCAAGAATTATTTACTCTAGAGGCTGCTGCATTTCAGCAGACTCCGACTCAACAGTCTAAGACTGCTTAATATACAGTGTTTTTTCATTCGGGGCTTTCAAAATTCTAGAGAGAAGTGGTTGTTTTTATTGTTCTCATTTTACAGGTGGGAAAATCAGGAAACTTGCTGCTTAACAGCTAATGCATCTTATCCGTCTGTGTCAGAATCGGAAGTGGCCAAGAGCATAAATGCAGATCGTCGCAGAGCCCCAGCTGACAGGTGCTAACTGCTGCAGCCACTGTGATGTGCTCACATCTGATCGTATGTCTGCATCCTCAGTTGCTCCACGATCCTTTCATCTCTCGCTGATAAAGCCGGAATGCCTGCCTGCAGTAGCACATTATATCCACTTATAATAAGTCTCTGCTCAGGAAACTCAACAGAGCTATTTGAAAGACTTGTGATATTTACACGTTTGGGAAGACAACTGGAGAAGGAAAAGGGGTTTGGGGAAGAGAGAAAGGTCCTGATAATCAGCTGTTTGCTTTTTCCTTTCCAGTCCTTCTAGGCTTGATTTGATATGCTTGTTCTGTGGAGATTCCAGAATAAAATCAATTTTAAAATCTACAGTTGTCAGAAGATGCCTATTTCTACGTTGGCCAAGGTTGTTGGTAGCACTCAATAGTGGAAAAGTTTTGAAGACATTGGGTTAGTCTTCAGCCAGGCAGAAAAAAATAGAGACTGAATAAGATGCAGGGACCACATGAAACTTACCTTGTACAACAAATCATAAGATGATGCAACTATTTCTTTTATTTTAATTAGCGTCTGTTCTAAGCCGAGCGCTGCAAAGCTTGCAGGTGGTGCAGCCTGCTTTTGTCTCTGTTAGTGTTTAGATGCTCTGCCATCATCAATTGCTCTCAGGAAATCAAAATAAGAGAGTTTGCTGTCACGAATGCTGATTCCTAAGATGAGGGAAAAACACAGAATGAGATATCAATGATTTTAAATAATTATCTCACTGTTGTCTGTACTGATTAATTATAGTGATACATTATTTGTACCACAGCAGCACTTCAGGATACGCTTGCGCTGTCAGTGTATAGTTCCAGCCCAAGCTCCTTCTCAGGTCTAAGCCACCAATCTCATCAATTAGACACAACCGTACTGTCAGATGCAGATCCAGGCCAGTCTCAAGATGCTCAAGAGGAGACCTGCTTTAGCCTGGGCCCAAGTACACAACCTTCCAGTCCGTCAGCATTAATTTTGTGCTTTTTAAGCACAGCACAGTACTTTGATCACAACCTGCTGCTGAGCTTACCATCCCCAATGTGGCTGGGGGACATGTGGGTTCCTAACCTTGAATCTTTTTTTCATGTCTAAAGGAGATTTAGACTGTAACCACAGTCTAATAGACTCTGTTGAGGAGTAGATGTTCCTTGTGCTAAGCACCGGTACTTTCCCTTGACTTTCTTCTTCACAAAACCACCTTTGACTCGCAGATGCTGAAGTGTTGCTTAAGCCTCCCAATATGTCAAGGTCATTGCAATTCTGAGAGAAGGAAGCAGAACCACATGTGGTCGGGTAAGCTGTTACCAGACATGAGTTAGGACATCCAGTACTGCTCCGTGATACGTTTCATGGATGTACCAGCTCAGGTCTGTACTCATGATTTCTCTACCACATGGGAGGAAACCAAAGCAGGTCCCATACAAGGCTTCTCTTTATGCTTGTGATAGAAGGGCTTACCTTCCCTCCCAACCTGTACTTCACTCCGTCTGGCTTGGCAGCCACTAGAGAACTGTTTTACAGGTTCTTGGTGGGACTCAGCCTTGCTGTATCTCAGGCCCTGGCCATCCCTCCTTTGGTGTGCCCACTGAGCTGCACAAGGGGCTGGTACATTTAGCCCAACAGCTGCTGCCGTCGCCTCGTGGTGCTCTGTGTCCATCATTTCCGATTGCTTGTGGTCAGGCTGCACCTGGGAGCCCAGCCCATGGGCTCTGCGGGCTGCATTTACAACTTGCTGAGTTTCTGCCTGTCAGCTGAAACATCTGCTGGATCACAGACGCTGGGGAATTTCATGTTCTGTCACATCGGAAATTCAGTGGGTTACAAAGCTGACTACAGATAGCTCCAGGTAACAACAGTGAATATATTTTTGCATCAAATATCAGCATGGGGAAAGATGAGCTCTTGCATATGATTTTGGGAATTTTTTTTTTCAGAGGACTTTGTTACCAAACTAAACTAATTTTTATTCAAAGATGTTTTACCATAAAAAGACTGGAATTCAGGCAAGCTTCGCGTATGCAGAAAACAAAAGTTATTTATCATGAAAGATTAAGATGAGATGAATAATACTAACCTCACATGAAAAGATGTTTTCCTCCAATGTCCTGTGACTTGTGACCACTTAATAAAAAGACACTTGGTATATTTTAAAAAAGGATTTCGAATCTGTCCAATGAGCCCGTAGAGTTCACCACCACAAGGGAGTACAATAGCAGGGGCTTGCTCTACTCTCACTTACCCAGTATACAGCCGGTGCAGGCAGTTCACGGAATTTCCTACCATTTAAAGACAATCGAGAGAGTCTTCAGACTACAGTATACATGGTGTGGTTTTGATACAAATCTGTTGGCTGCCATGGAGTTACTCCAGTTTGACCTCAGAGTTACCAGCTATGAAGACGTTTTTAATAGACTTTAATAATTTTAGAGCAAATTATCGTAACTGTAGAATCTTTACATACATATAATAGATAGACAATTCCTGTGCTGCAGGGCAAAGGCTGGACTTTTATAGTATTGCATTAAGCTCTTTTGTTAGACCTATGGTCAAGGCAAGTCCTAGAGAGCCAAGACTTGACAGAGAAGATAGCCGCACTATGCAACCTTGATTTTCTTCTTTAAAACTGAATTACTGTAATGTACTTTTGTCATCTGTTTCCACAGTAAATCACTGGGGACCAATGCCTCAGCTACCAATCACCAGAATATCCAGTTACAAGAATGTCTAATTAATGGGGAGAGCCAGTGAAACAAAGAGGAAGCTTTATAAAACAGGCTGGAAAAGAAATTAACTATAGACCCCATATCTGCTAGTAAGAAAAAAAAAATATTCAAGAGCCCTGATTTTGCATCTTGCAGCTGCACAGCACTCCCACATACTACCCGTGTCAAGCTGGCTCCAATATTGGAGACAGTGTGTGGAAAAGGAAATAATCAACACCATTTCAGCAGAGAAATAAATTGCCAAGTGGGCATTAAAATTTTAGTAATAAAACTAAATGCATATGCTAATCTACTCTGTATTATTTAGAAAAGACTATTTTGGATCAAGAAAGGAATAATCTGCACAAAATTACAATGAATGGAGGTGTTTATCATCAAGAGGTCTTTGAGAAAGGAACAAGCAGCAGATTCCTATTAAGTTTTCAATTCATAAAAAGTTGATCACACAATTAAAGGTGAACTGTGAAAAGACTTTGTTAATTTTATTTCAAAAAAAGAGTCTGGTCTGGCAGGCTCTGGAGAACAAAACCCAGTGCTGCCAGGCATATGACCTTTGGAGGGCCTGTTTGGTACAGAGAACCACAGTTAACCAATGTTGGAGTAGGTCCTTTGCATTCTTCAACCTCTACAAAAGAGATTTTTCTTCTTACTCATATTAACACACAGAATTAACAGCATAGTTTTGTGTGGCAGCAGCACTGGATCATTTGAAAATTATTCCTATTTTATAATCTGATATAATTCTGTTTCTATTTTGAACAGGATCGGTCACACACACTTGCTCTATTAAATTGAAATTAAATAATTAAAACTAAATAGTAAATACACATACTCAAGGCATACTTTTTTTATGTAAGAAGACATTTTGTTCTCATTACCTACAGAATCAATACATTACCTAAAAAGATTTTCACGCAGATGCAGTTTTAAGCATGAGGGCATCTCCATTGGTTTTTAACAGAGCTTCTCATATGCTTACACTAAGTACAAGCTTTGCTGGCTGTGACCAAAGAGGTGCTTAGGAAATAATTATACAAACCTGTTTAGAAGACTGCTGAACTGATTGTGATCAAGGTAATAGTTGAATTCTTGTAGTATCCTGTGCAGGTCACATACTGTTACATAGCCATCTCCGTTTTTATCCACTTTATGAAAGACCTTATTGAAATACTGGAAGCAATCCCTAAATTTATCTCTGAAAGAGAGCAGATGTTTATTTTAGCTCCTTTGTTAAATCAGATAAAAAGGACACAAACAAATATACAAAATAAGGGTGGAGCGGCAGAGAAAGATTTTGAGCTTATTTGTGTGTGGTAAGTTCATATAATTTATTCAAAGACTGCCAAATTGTTCACAAATAAACCTCAAACCCGACATCCCCCTCCATTTAATTTGCACATGGAATTGCATGGCTCAAGCCTCCTATTGTAAATAAATGCTCCTTGGGTGATTAACTGGTTACTCTCCCCATTCAGAACTGCAGATACAAAACACAGTGCTCTCTTTTAAAGCCTGTACAGATCGGAGAAATATTGGCACAGCTGTTAAAATGATAAGGGTTTGGAAGCATACTTTCTGCAATTTGAGGCTCCTGAAACTTTGACGTAGTAAAGAACTATTTCAACAAAAAGAGTTAGACCAGAGCAAAACCTGGAGAGGCGCGGGGCCTGATCCATGTTCAAGGGAAGAAGAGCAGACCTTCTGCTGACTCATGTGGACTTGGGATCAGCACCTTAAAACGTCTCTGAGATATTTATCGTTTCTTACACATGATCAAATTCAGGCCTCAAAGTCTTGACTCTTCCTCTCACTTTATTTTCTCACTTATACTTCACTGACGTCGGGGACTTTTTGATCAAACTCTGGAAACCCATGCAATATCCCTCTTTGCCTTGTGATTCAACAAAAGCCTCTCTGTGTCTTGGCTAAAGGAGACAAGGCAGGCACAAACATCCCTCCTTACTGCATGTCTTCAACTAGCAAAGTCGCTCAAGATCAATGTAAGTTATAATAGTTGTGAATTACGTCTTTATGTAGATGACCAAGTATACATAAATTACCTACATGTATTCAGCACTTACAAGATGCTACCCTTATGGCAAAACTGGCAAGTTTGAGTTCGGGTTAACACCTACAGCCGTGCTCCGTTTGCTTTGGGATTGCTCTTTCTGACAGCCCTAGGGTACAGAGCGTGGAGGCTGGGTTCTTCAGAGTCAGGATTTGCAGTATAAAAGGCTTATTACAGTGGTAGCACAGTTCAACAGTGCAACCCACATAATCAAGCACGATTCATTGCCTCGGCCTCTCACCAAGCCTGTCCGTGGATCCAACAGCTCACATCAGTTCACTTCGCTCCTTGTTGAGCCGCTGCCAATCAGCCAGCACTCAATATGTCCATTTTGTGTAGTAACTTAAAAGCTACTCGCACAGGTTGCCTGTGTGATGCGAACTCTCATGTAACATTCACATGCTAACAGGCCTCTGGACACCCTCATTATCTTTGTGGATGGCATATTTGTAATGACTCTGCTTTATCCTGTTGCCAGTTAATGTTTTATGTTATTTCTCTGCATTTACATTTGCATTTCTGTCTAATCCTACTTCTCAGGCTCTCTTGGATACTTTTTTTTTCAGATTCCCTACTGATTTTCTCCCTACTCGACGTGTTCAGTATCTATTTAAGCAGGCACAGTTGCTTCAAGTAAATGACTTTTCCTACATTTCTCTGTGAAAACTCATGAACTTCAAGCCTAAAGGAAGTCTTTGAAAGCAGAATCTCCAGTGCGGTGGTCTAAAAATGCATAAACTCCTGTCATGCAAAGAAGTTTGCTTGGATTCAGCAGAAGAATCTGAATTTGTAATTTGTGTAAAAAATTATTAATATTCGTAAAAAACATATGCAGTCCTTTTATCTGAATATATCCTGTGTAGGACAGTGTCTGTACTTAGCCCCGCTGGATGTAAGGACAATCTCAGTGACTTGTCTTTCAATCTTCCTGTTGCTAATTGGCTCTTCTGTTTTTAAACATGCCACCATTACTCCTACATAATCTAGCTCCTTTACGAACTTCCCTCTCACGGTCAGAGGAGCGTTGCTAGCAGCACCCATTGTTGTGAAAATACACCTTTATTTTCTGTGTCTATCTCTGCCACTAAAGATTTCTGAGTACCGATCTCCTACCCTTGCGATTCCTTCATCAGACTAACTGCTTTAACCAAGCCCAGGGCTAGGTACCTTTTAGACTGAATATTAGCTCTTTCTGTCTATAAACTTAAACTACTGCCATTATCTTCACTTTTCAATTTAAGTTCATATAATCCTTTAGTAGGAATTAGATTCTCAGTAGACACCCTCTGTTTCAATAGTCTTTGTATGTAGAGATTCCTGAGCCAGATCTTTTACAGAGTGCTTGGAGGTAACACTGATTGAACATCAGTTTTGAATTTAGAGGTGTTTATTCTTGGTCTGCAGCCCTCTCGTGAAGCTTTTGTACAGAATCTCTGTGTGGCATTTTGTTGTATCATTGGTTTGTGCACCATCACATAGATCTGGGGGATACAGAGGGTATTCTCTTTTGCTTCTGCTTTTTCCAGCTGCAAGGTCTTGCAAAACAAATGCGTTTCTCATAGATGCTGCAAAATTTCTAAACTCCTGGACATAGTGTGAATCTGTGAATTCTCATATATTTCACTTCAGCTTTCTTGCAGATAGCTCTGAAGAGTCTCTTCAAAACTCTCCTAGTTCCCTTTCCTGACAGACAGCATGTCCTGCTCCCCTTCTGATATTTCCACACTGTCCCCTATGACTGTCCTAGCTTGACTAAACAGATTTTTCTATACTTTTTCTTTTTTCAGATCCTACCTTCCTCAGATCTTTTCTATCTTTGGATTTTTGATGCCAATCACTATCTGATCCCTTAGAATGGAATCTCTGAAAACGTCACAGCTACCTGACCGATCCATTATTTTAAGATCAGCTGAAAATTCTTCAAAGGATTTCTCCTTCTGCATTCTCATATGAAACCCGTGTCTTTCAAAAGTTCAAGCTTCCTTGGGAGTGCAATATTCCTTCAACTTACTTTCTGTAGCTGCATGGATTGCCCTCTGAACCTGGCTTGGTTTCATGCCATTAAAAACTTTGATAGCTCCTACTCCTGTAATATTCCAGAAAATAGTTGTGAGCTTCCTTATGATTAATCTAGCCACTGTATATAAGTTTCAAAGCACGATGTGAATCTTTTCAAGGAAACTGCAATATTACCAGTGTGTTTTAGAGTCTCTAAAAGCCCCTAAAGAGCTATCACCTTTCCTCTCCCTTTCAAATTTATTTTTTTCTAGTTAATTCCTTCCTCTTTTTCACATTCTGCTGCTGTTACCGTGTGGCACTTGGCTTACACTCGAAGCAAGACTTGTACTGGAAAGAGCACAGAAGTGTGCTGCAGAGGGTGCACATCAGTCAGAGAGCACTTGCATCGCACTCAAGCTGGCTTTACCCTCTTGAATCTCCATGTATCTAATTACTGACTAACCAGCTCAGATTCCTTCAACCTCCTCTTAGATATGAGACCCTAGAGATCCAACATCTGCTAATTACATCTCTGAATTTTAACTTTTATTATGTTCAGAAGCCTACAGACTTTCAAGCAGAGACACAAATCTAAAACCTCCTGACAGAGAGTTTGCTTTTTTTTTTTTTCCAGTTACTGTAATGTGTCGCAGCTTACAACCCACAGGTTTACAGCAATTACAAAGGGTCAACGGTGGAGGAGGATGGATGCCGAGGTCTAGCAAGACATCAAGAGAGTCGCACCTAGGAAGCAGGATACAGCAGCCTAAAAGCCAAAACCAGCTGACCACCCTAAGGGCAGTTTGTGATTTCAGTGACAGATGGATCTCCTCCAGCCCTGGAAGACTCTGGCACTGCTCCTTCCATCTTCCAAGGGTGTGCTTTGAAGGTGTGATATGGTCCACGTGGTACTCTCATTGCAGAAAATTTCTGGAACCTTTTTCAACTGTGTGTTTCTTTCAGTGCCAGTCTTTATCACCACTATCATCTTCCACTTAAATCTCCCCAATGAAAGTAAAGGCTGAAGTAAAATGAAAACAGTTTTTGAGATTCATATTTTTGGAAAATTGAGGCATTCAACATTTTTGGACTGATAAAAGATTTCCAGGCAGTAATTATTCCACTCACAGCAACAAATATGTGTGTGGAGCAAATGAGGATTAAAACCATAGATCAAGCTACATTGCCAAAAAATAATATTTTCTTGCAAATGTTTTGTATTTTTCTTGAAGAGCTGAAGAGCCACTGTTCAATGTCTGTTTCTAATTTGGGCGATTTGTTCCTGTGAGTTACAACAAAAGCAAAAAGGGAAAAAAAAAAAAAGTGCACAGCAGTATGTTTTGAATTGTAAGACGTCCGGAGCTTTTGTCTGCCTCACAGTGTGTAATCACAGGGCACCGAGATGGCTCCAAAGCTGCAAGGGTGAGGTTCACAGCCCTTGCAGGAAGCCAGAAGAAAGGGCACAGGCTGGATGCAGCCACTGTGCCAAGGGAGATGCAAGGGTTTAAGCAAGGTCATGGAAGGGGGAGAGGGTGCTGCTCCCGGTGCTGCTGAAGTAGGTCCTGTAACCAGCAAATTCACACTTCAGGCAAATACCTCCTCCCAGTCCAAATCTGACAGGTGGACGGAGTCAGTTTTCCAACTCATTGAGAATGAAGTGGGCGCTGAGACCCACGTGGATCACCAGGGTCAGGTTTTGCAGCCACTGCATCCGTTTTCCTTACCAAGAGCAGATCTCCTTACACTGACCTTTCCAGTAGAAGGGCATGGAGCCCACCTGTGCTTCCTGTAGCTCATCTGTCTTCTGCGGTCCTGGAGCAGAAGGCTGACGCCTGGCTGGATCGCTGCCTTCGCAGCCACCATGTGGATGGATTTCATCCGTCGGACAATGATTCCAGCTCAAGAGTAATTTCTGGCTTTCCAGGGCCTTACATGAAATCTGAGGAGTTTGGAAGCCTGGATTCAACTCCACTTGCACTTCCAGCTTTCCGAGAGAGAAAACCAGACAGGAACTGCTGCCACAGGACTTCTCCCACTGGCCAGGAGGCGGGTGAGGAAGTGTGGGAGACGAGAAGAGAACGTTCAGAGGAACTGAAAGGTGACAGTAATCGATAACAAGACATACTTTTGCAGACCACAAGTGATTAAGCTGTGAACTCATTCCCAAAGGAAGTTGCAGATGCCAGAAATCTCAAAATATTTAGAACTGGATGTCTTACATGTATAAATCAAGAAAAGCCAGAATCTAACAAACAATTAGAACGTAATTTTTGAAAGGGATATAAAAGTCCCATCTGTAGGCTGAAACCAAACTCCGTCATTGCCCAGGATAACACAGCCCCAGTGCAGGAAGCAGAATATTCCATGTCCATCTGCTATAAGGCTGCTCCACCTCAACCAGAAACATCTGGCCCTGGATGCTAGCAGGTAACTAAATCCAGTGATACTTGACCCAGTCTGCCAGTTTCTGTTTTCCTCCAAATTAGGGTTAAGTGATTGCTACGCACTTGTATATACCTATTTGTGTGTCTAGTTGCCATATACATGGTCCTATACATAGCTGTTGTTATGGTAGATTCTCAAAAGTAAATAATTCTAAATGATGTGGACCTGCCAGCATGCCACATCATGGCTATTTTATTTTTACCCAGCATGTCTTCCCCATTGATTTAATTACTCTCCAGCTGCTTCAGGATGAGTATTTGCATCTTTGAGCCACACTGCATAATTTCTGCTTGTAGCACAGCATCTTCCCTACTTGCAGAGCTGCTTCTTATTTATAGCATTGGAGGCAGGGCTGCCTTGCACTTGGCATTGAACTAGCAGGAAAGAAATAGAAAGTTCATGACCAAAAGAGCTCTTCATCCAAGTACAAGACTAGAGACAACCGTTTGGTACAGCAAATGGAGCAGAAGAGCTCAGTATGAGACAGGGCCTAAGTTTTGCATCAGAGAGTTACAAATACAGCAATGCCTACAACACAGCAGCTACCTAACCATCTCTGTTGTATATTATGCAATTTTTTACAGGTGGAACGCTCGTTGATACCTGTGGGTGTCATAAATGCAGTTTATACCAGAGAGCTGCAATGCAGGTGGGAGAGTTGTGATTCTGAACAGAAAGGACTGTTCTGCCCATGATTCCTTCAGCCTATTTGGGATACTGGAAAACAGAATTTTAAAAAGCAGGTTAAAAAAGGAAAAGCTTACAGACCTCTCTCTGTGTTTTGTGGGGTTTTTTTTGTCTAATGATTTCCCAAGCTGCCTCTTTATCTGCAACACAAGGCTGCTCTTCTTTGTTTATGAGTGTATCACCTTTACCGACAATGTCATGGGGAATTATCATTCTTATCAATAATAATTTATTAGTTCCTACAACTTCCAGACACTTTCTGAGCACAAAAGAAGCAAATCTGTGCTCTTGGGGGTACATTTTTACATGTTATTTGCTCCTGAGGGTTTATAATCCTAAAAAAAAAAAAAAAAAAACCAACAAAAAAACACAGTTCAGGAGAAGAGTGAAAGCACAAGCAGAAAACACAATAAGCAACCAGGTGGTGTCTATCCACAGCCTGGAAATATAAAGTTTTAATTGCACTGTACTGGGGCAGAGGATTCTCCTGCTGCCTCAGTTTGCTGGCAGGTGCAGGAATCCTACAGCAGCAGCAGACTAATCACTGCTGACTCACTAGCGCAAGCATGGATCATTAGACTCCACTCTGAGTAGGATATCATTTTGTCATTTGTTTGTCAAATGCTCTTCTCAGGAGCAATGACCTATTAACTCTGTGAGTGTTGATTTTTATTTGAGGCAGAGACTCTTCTTGCTTGGAGACAAGACGCTTATTTCTGTTGTGTGGACCCAGGGTCTATCCTTGACAAGGCTGTTTTTTTGCTGCATCTACAAAGCCATTTGCTAACAATTTAACTAGCTGATAGAGGGATGTGAAACCAGCTGTGATTGCTCCTTGACCCTCATTCAAGGGACAGGGTAGGATTGGGACAACAGTGTCCTGCATGCCCAGCCATTCCAGCGGAAAGAAAAGCCCCTGCTGAGTGTAATCAGGTAGGTCTAAGTCCCCGTCGCCCAAAGCAGTCTGAGAAGAAGAGACCTGCAGGGTGACAAAAACTGCATTTGCCCTTCTCCTTCCATCTGAGCTGACAGCAGCATTAAGACTGGAACCATAAGCTGAGACGATACCAATAAATAGGCCAGCGAATGCTCTGGGCACAAAGGCCAGCTGGCACATCTCTGCTAGTGAACCTTCTTAGCTGCCGAAAGGGAGCAGCTGCCTGCAAACTGTCTATTAGGGATGGTCCTTGAAGCGTTCTTGCTTCCAAACAGTGCTGGAGGCGATCAGGGAAAACATCAGCTGACACAGGCCAAGGCATGGCGGGGACTGTTTTGGCAGTCCAGCAGCAGAGATGACTGAGTCTGGGAATGGCTCTGGATATTCTGATTTGTCAATATAGATGCTGCCCTAAAGTCTGTAAAATAATGTAAGCCATGGAGAATATCTATAACAAAAGTTTCACAGTGCACACTGAGCTAGGCTTATCTCCAGCAAATCAAGGAAATAACATTATGGATAAGCTTGGTCCAGTACCTTCTGAAACTCCTTTTCAGAGCCTATTTTTTTCTAAACTTACATTTGCATTGCACAGTGTCATCTTCACAAACAAAACACAAACAAAGAAAGTTATATGCTAGGCTCATAAATAACTTACTCGGTCTGCTTTTTCATTTCTCTTACATGCAGAGCTTTAGTTTGCTGTTTCTGCTGCTCTTCCCGCTTTGAATGCTTCTTTTGTTGATTATTATAATGTGATTGTAAATGTGCATAGCTGTCTTCCGTGATGTGTCTGCTGAGCCCTGTGTCAGCGGATGCAAACTCTATCCTCAGTTTCTCTAAAAATTCTTGGTAAGATATCCTTTTGCATGTGGATCACACCTTGAAAAAGAAATGCTCTCTTTAAATATTCATGTATTCTTCACAGAAAGACATTACAGATGTCCTTAAGTGACTTAACAGCTTAAATCTCACTGACTTCCCGTCCTTACAGAGGTGCCATACCACACTGAGAAGGAGTGACTTTATATGAGACTCGAAAGATAGGGCTTATGCATTGTAACCACAGAGTCGATTCTGAAAATACTACCCTGAGGACCAAATTGTCAAGAGTATTCTGCAGCTCTCAGTACCGCTGCCTTTCAGTGTCTGGCTTGAGATGCAGAGAACTATGCTCCAGAAAATTCAGTCTTAAGCACCTCAAACTGGTCACTCAAGTTTGAGATGCTCAGAATTGTAACCATCCTTCAGAAACATACGTTTAGCTTCATAAACACTTTTCATATTTTCTTAGGTATAAACCATTCCATAGGCTTTTTGCCTTGAAGTTTCTCCCCCTGCTAGTGCTCCAATGCATGGTAATGCTTAATTTAGCCTCAGCTTCTCTCTAATTCCTTTATTCAAGTTACAGACAGATCAGGCACGTAAGAGATTTTAGCTATTCTATATAAGGAGTGGCTGATGAGAGTGAAGTTGAGCAGCAGATAACTGCATGAAAAGGATACTCTTCAATGTGCCATGGCATCCATAAGGAATAAGAACGGAAAGTAAAATCTAATGGAGTAGAAAATAACTCAGAGATGAATCAGTGCTAAGAAAAAACTATATAGTTAATGCAGTTTGAAACTCAAATGCAATACACTCAGGTTCTATATGTTAGAGAGAGTGATTATTTTTTTAAATAGATCTATAATGACGGCAGCTTTTTATATAATGCCACGTGCAGCTGACATCTTTGCCATTTCAAACAGAGTTTATAGCACAGCTCCTCTTTGTTGAAGGCAGACAAGTATTTTCCCCCACTTCACAACAAATTACTTGTCTATATAAACATTTCTGATATTACTTGTCATCTTTACACAGCATGAAATTACCTTACTTTCTTTTGTTATGTATTTGGTACGTAGCATTTTTCTTCTGACTGGATCACTTTTATTTAGGTTGAAAATATTGTGAGTAAATTCAGTGCTCTGGAAAGGAGAGGCTAGTAGCACTGCCTTTAGTCAGATGTGCAACACAGACCCTCCACGGAGATCCTTGGTGGAAGGATCTCTCTAATTCTGCAGTTCCCAGCTGACCCGAGACACTTGGAACTGACTTTCACCCATCTCAAACTAAGGTAAAGGTTCGTGTGTATAAACAAAATTGATGAAAAACAAGTTAATTTAACCAGTGACCTAAGGTGCTGTCCAAGAAGAAAATGCATGTCATATTAAAGGGATCAGTACTACTGAAGCCAAGAGAAAGTCCTGTTGGAAACTGATGGATCTAATTGTATAATGGAGCTGTTGGAGCAGGTCCAGAGGGCCACAAAGATGATCTGAGGGTTGGAGCACCTCTCCTGTGAAGACAGGCTGAGAGAGTTGGGGTTGCTCAGCCTGGACAATAGAAGGCTCTGAGGAGATCTTATAGCAGTCTTCTAGTACCTAAAGCTGGAGAGGGACTTTTTACAAGGATGTGTAGCGATGGGACAAGGGGCAATGGCTTTAAACAGAAACAGGGTAGATTTAGATTAGATCTAAGGAAGAAATTCTTCCCTCTGAGGGTGGTGAGGCACTACACCGGGTTGCCCAGAGAAGTTGTGGCTGCCCCACTCCTGGAAGTGTTCAAGGCCAGGTTGGATGAGGCTTTGAGCAAACTGATCTAGTGAAAGATGTCCCTGCCCATGACAGGGAGGTTGGAACTAGATGATCTCTAAGGTTCCTTCCAACCCAAATCATTCTATGATTCTATGATTCTTGAGCTTAGTATGATAAGAACAGAGCTGCCTTGTAACACAGTGTCATGATCTAAGGTCACAATCATAACAAAATAAAAGATTTCTGGGCAGTGTAATCTATTGTCATTCGCTGCACTACCAAAGGCTCTGTAATCCTATAAAAGATACATTACTGCAAGAGCTAATAATTTAGAGTAGTCATACCTTGCCCAAAGCTGCTTAAATTCTTCTGGGGTGATTGTAATGTCAAACCTGAACAAGACTTTCTTCAAGTCCCTCGGCTGTATGATGCCGTGTCCTTCACTGTCGAATTTCTGAAAATTCTGGAATGTAAAAGAAATCATCACTAACAAGAACCAACAAGTTTGACAAAATGTTTGATCTCTCTGTAAGCTTAATGAATAATGGGAACTGCGAAAGAAAGGGAAAATCATGCACATCTGAATTTAATCTTTTAATGTTTTTTAATTTGATTTTTAGTTTCCCACTTTCCACTATGGATGTGCATCTCTCAAAAGCTTGAATCAGGATTGACATCATAGGTGTTTAGGTGGTGTACTCTGTGTGGAAAGTTTCTTACTGATGGCAAACACAGGGCATATGAGCATGAGAAGCATGCATGCAGCTGTGGGTATTCCCATTGCTGAAGCATGCCAGGGGAAGTTGAAGGCACTGCAAAATGGCAGACCTGCAGATTTTCTATCCAACTTGTTCTATACTGGTATAGAATTAGATTTTGCTTTGGGTTTTGATTGGTTGGTTAGGTTTGTTGGGTTTTTTTTTACCATTCATCTTGCAAACTGAGGCTACTAAGTACTATTGTCCGATTTACACAAACATCTAATGATAAAATGATATTCATTTTTTCTTGTGCTACTCTGTCGTCCAAATATTGCAACTATTAAACAAATTATAAAAAGATAAAAAGGTGGAAATAATTTTTATAGGACAGTTTTGTGAGAGTCCCTTTGGATGGTGTACGCATCTCAGTCAGTGCTTCACTGAGCTGGGCAACACTGAGTGTCAGCATAGGAGTAAGTGTGTATTTGTGCACAGCATGTAGTCAAACAGGCCTCAGATAAAGCCCATTACTACTCCTCCAACAGAAACATTAAATAAAATGATAGTAAAATATGAAGAAAGTTTTAGAAATAACTGTAATAGCATCTACTATCATCTAGTATAATCAACGTTACAAAAACTAAATATTATTCAAAGTGTTGAATTTTTTTTAATCACAGTAAGTTTTTATCATTAATGAGCTATTTTGAAAGGGTCTCTGAATATTTATAGAATCTGAAGATCAACATTGCATAATGTTCTGAAATCTATTAGTGCTGCTATTTATTTAAAGAAAACATTCTTCTTACCCTTGCTAGGTCATGCCATCTGGTTCTTGCTTTGATAACAAGGTAGTAATGAGTGTGATCACAAGCTAGCTCTGCATCCCTTATCATCTCTTTTTTTTCTCAGAAAAGAAGAAAAACAGAATAACAACGAACTATGTTTTACGTTAGTGGGATCTTTAATCTCCACAAGTTTTCTTCCCTTTTGTTGTTCTTCATGGTAGCAGTGGTTTTGTTTCCTAGTTTCTAAGATACCCATTAAAGACTGTTACTTCACATCTGTGTAAACTTAATTCTTTAAATACTGCCTTATTTCCCTAGCTGCAGGTTAGCGGAGATGTTTTAAATTTTGTAATTCCCTATTTATTTTCCAATCAATGTTGTTCAATTCTCCCTCAAACTCAAGAGCCAGCATGGATCATTTATACTCATAGAAGGAAATGTTAATTATCTCAGAAACAATTATATCCTGGAGTGACTCCAGGAAGATTATCCTTGATTTACATCAATAACGTAGATCAAAACCATCTTTGTGAGTCACCAGGGCACGGCTAGTAAATCTGGGGAGTAAGACTCACATTTGCAAATTCAGCCATAATTACAAGTGCCTAACTTTTCAGGGCCTGGTGCTTCTCATTGAATCCAAGCATACAGAGCAATACGGGTGCCTCAGATTAGGATCCAGCATAGCTGCCACGCTACATGGAAAGCTGACTAAATCCATGTGCTACGCAAGGACACCTACCTGAGAATCAAGGGGACCTTATGTCTCACCATTTGTTGAAATAGTGCACCTTCCTTCACCTGAGAAGAACAGCTCTTCTTTTGGTGCCCAATTCTCTTCAGCGTTTCTAAGCACTTCCAGTTAGAAAACTGAGGAAAAGCTGGTCATTTCTTTTAACACACAGCTGCCCAACTCATGCTACGTCCTAGCACCCGTTTCTCCTCTGGCTATTGCTTTGTAAGGAAATGCTGCAGACATACGGCTTCAGAGCCTGGTTCAGCCACGCTCCAGGAATACGCTCCCTGGTCCAAGATTCTCAAATGAGAGGCAGAGGAATATTGAGTCTGCAGACCAGGCGAGATGTGGTAACTACATCTGACCTACCCACAGAGTTCCTGTACCACCCATGGCACAAGCAAACCAGAACTTGGCTCCTGGATAATGTAGCACTGCAAACTCAGCCACTTCTGACCTCTTGGGGCTCTGGGCCTTGGCAGCCTTTGCTGAGGGCTCCGTCTGGATTTCAAAACACATTAACCTATTTTAGATGCCTGGGAATCTTTTGAGTTTTCCTCACTCCCGCTGCTTGAGAGAAGATTTCACGAGCCTAAACAATTGACCAACAAAAATAGTCTAAAAACTTAGCTGGGAAAATACAAGTGCTCTTAAGGCTTTCAATCACTACATTTTCCTTGCTGGACTTCAGAAATAGTAATAGTATTTGAAATGAGGAAATTCTGGAGCTGAATTCAAAATGTTTCAATTTCTAGCTAAGTCCAATCTGAATCAGAAATGAGAGCGTGACAGTAATTGGTCTCAGGCTCCAACTGTTAGCAAGATTCAATCATCATCAGTTTCCTTTCTTGTTTCAGACTGACGTCCTTGATTCACTCAGTTGTCCAATTCAGGAAAAAAGAAAAACAAACCAAGCAGATAAATATTACTAACATCAGAGCCAATAGTAATGCTGTAAAAGACAAATAAAAACTGGGAAATAAGCCTATGTGTATATATCACATATTCACTGCCACCGCGGAGATGAGTTGCTGATCAGGAGCTTTTTCAGTCCTGCTGTATCTTGTCATTATTTTTATGAATTTGTCTCGGTTTGCATAGTTAAACAGAGTTTCACACTGAGTTTTTAGAATTAATTTTTTAGTTCCTAAATGCTATTTATCATTAAAGTTAAGCTCAAACTTTAAAATTCCAGACGTTTTAAGCAGCATCTCTTCTCGCAGGAAGGGAGGCTGCAGCAGCGTTATTCTCCTTGTCTGCTCACGCCGCAGTGCCTCAGTGCTTCTGTGCACCTCTTCTGGTCTTGTCCACTCTTAATGCTTTGGCGGCATAAAGGTCTGGAGCTTGAGGCTTCGGGCTACTGTAACGCACTGACAACATTCAGTCTCATAACTGACAGACATTATGCCAGACAGGTAATACTCTGGCTGCTCCTCAATCCAAAATGGCATCTGATTCCCCAACCGTGTCCCCAATTCTGCATGCTTGGAAGATGCAGCAAAGTTGTCCAGTTTGGAGGCTGGCTCAGCTCTAAGGCTCCAACTCAGACACCAGTATATATGTTTGACCTTACAGATTTAAGCAGTTCCCAGGGGTAGCTCTGGCATTTTAACCTACTGCTGGATTCAGTATCTGGTTTAATGGAGTCAAAAATCACTGAGAACTTGGTAAAGCTACCTGACTTCAGCTTGACAAAGACACATTTTAATACTATCTTTTTCAGTTATACCCAATACAAATGTTCACACAGCATATTCATTTCTGTAACTATTACTGTAGGTACTACACAACTTTTTGTTTCTTACTTGTGAGATGGTATGAGGTGAGGAGGTACCTCCTTAGTTTCTCGGGTGTGGAACAGTTGACAGAATTCTTGGTAATTTAATGTGGAGGTCAAGTGTCTTCCCAACAGAACAAGTAGTTGCAGGAATTCCTCATCTCTAATATGAAGCAGAAAGCTGTTCAAGAATTGCCGAAAGTCAAGCATGTTGATGATACCGTCATGGTTACTGTTTCATGGACGGCAGAATAGGTGTCCTAACAAGGAATATTTAATGAAATACATTTAAGGTGTCAACTACATATTTTTAAACATAAATAACAAATGTTTGCTCTATATTTGCTTTGACAACAGGCAAATATTTTAATGCAGTTTGAGAATTCAAAGCATTTATAGTACTGCCTTACTAACCACTTGGGATAGTGTGCAGTAAGCTATAGTCTTATTGCTTTCACCTCAAGCATGTACAGAACTGAGCAAAACTAGAGAGCATCAAAAAGCCACTCACAAAAATTTACAAATTAACCTCCACTTTCCATCAGTACTACAGTGAGAGGTACCTCATTTCTACCCTTGCGCACCTTTAGAAAACCTGTAATGAAGAGAGACTTTGCAGCAATTGATCTACCAGCTGAACAGCTTCTCCCATTAAAACAGGCACAAAACGTTCAAACACATTTAAAATGGTGCAGTTCTTCAGAAATCTGAAGTAGTGCTTGCTGATCAATATGATCAGCTTTGCTAGGGGTGTCCAAGCTGGTTTGAACAGGGATGGGATCGGATGGGATGCGATGTGATGCGATGAACTGAATAAAAGGATAACGACTGCATCTTCTCTCCTTTGTAAAATGTGATGTCTCTTACTCTGTGCATATCCATGGAGGGAATTCAAGGAGTACACTCTAATGGTAATTACAGAAAATAATAAGCAAATGTAGAAAAGCTGGAAAACAACTCGATTAAGATCACTGTGTTGCAAACTTTGGGGATTAAGAACATCTTCTTAAAAGACCATTCTCATGAATAGATGGACTGTTCCATGAATGAGTAGTACAGAGTTATTCTTTTCTAATTGCAGAATCTTTAATAGCTACGCTCACAAAAGGATGGGAAAAAATAACTCAGATCTTATTTTCCTGGCAGACGCTGCAGAGAAGACAATTAGGAAAAAAAAAAAAAACCCCACAGTTTTTGCCTTGAAAACTGAATGTATTTCAACTGGATGTTTCTGAGAACACAGAAGACGTGAAATCCAACAGAATTTTTAGAGTTGCTTTCCTGACAGCTCCTCCAAACCAACTTTTAAAACAAATGTTTGTATCAAAATCACAACCAGCCTCACTGCCAAAAGCAAACCAAGGCTCTATGTATTTATCCCATAGACTTCCATCAGCTTATCATTGACTGAGACATTCTTCAGCAGTCACATAGTGATATTTAGCATCATTTACTCTGTGGTTTGGGCAGCTACATAGAGTAGCTTCTGGCCTTTTTAATCTGGCATTTGTAATAAGGAAATCAAAGTAAAGCAAACATTGAAAATATATTAAATAGCAGGGTAATATAGCATGAACAAGACAAGAAATCCTGTAATTGTATTCTTTACAGCCCAAACATGACGAAGTCCAACAGCTGTATGCTGTGTCCACCCAATTGACAGTATTGGCCTCAGCTGCTCTACTTTTGCCAGCACAAGGTGAAGAAGACAATCTCAACTGAAGAAAGCACAGCTGAGACAAGATCGTCTTCTTTTGCTTTAGCCTTCTCTGGTGCCTGGTTGCTTTGAGGGAGCGAGGTATCAGACTGGAGGAGGAGAAAAGAAGTGCTGTGAAAGCCATGACTTAGTGCCCTACCACTCATCTGTCTCAGTGAGGGAACACAAGAGCTGCAGACAGAGTCAGAGAAAGTAATTTGTTATGTCTTTGACTGTGTAGCACAACCGCCGTACGCTAGACCATCTCCCCTGGAGCAATTCTATCCCGGTTAAGCTCTCCTCCGGTTTGAACCGATGTGAGCTATTTCAGATCTGCCATCAAAATGCTCCTGACTTTACAGAGGATCACCCTTGAAACTATTTCACCTGAGATTCTGTTCTGGCAAGATTCAGTCCTGCTCAAACAGCAGCTTCATATTGTCACAATTTTATTATCTCCCAGCCCAGCAGGATCAGGTAAGGGTGACAGCCAGCTTCTCAGCAGGGCAACCAGGCACTTCCAGTCTTGAAGGGCTAAGGTACTTTTAGGCCATAGAAAAGCTATTTTGGTCACCGTTCCAGATCTGATTCTTTTTGCTCACTGTGCAGTGATACTCTAGGAATCTATTTTGCCTCGCTCCTGGGGAAAAAAGACTAAGCATCTTCTGTAGCCTCTTGAGCGTTTTAGAATTTTTCTGCTGTGCAGGAGCTATATAGAGGAGTAAAGAAATTCATGTCAGATTTTAAAATGGGAAAAACTTTCAAAGAAAAATATACACACTGGCATTTCACTACACCCTACTCCTGACTGATAATAAAAATGCTAAGTTAATGATCTGTTCTAAAGGAACCTTGCTTTTCTTTTAAAAAGATTTACATACACCAAGACACAAGAGCCTGTATAACTACTCTGAAGAATCACTAAATAGTGTTTACTGCATCATTTTAGCTTCTCCTGATTTTACTCTTCAAATAGTACTCCCCCCTACAGACATGCACTCCCCTTTTTTTCAGTTCTGGTTTCTATTGAAGTCTAGTCAAGAAAATTTGTACTCACGTTATCTTCCCACTAAAGCTTATGAGAGGAAAATCAGGTCTCTTTTTCTGTGACTACAGACCACCCTCCACCACAATGAATCCCAAATCATCGAAAAATAAAAGTTAGGAGATTTTTTTCCTCCATTCTGATTTCTGAGACTTCCTTTATGTTAAATGTGGGTCACAATTCCTTTTCCAACTATGAGATACAGTAACACGTGGAAAGAAAAGCTGTAATTCTCATAATTGGCGAAAGCAAAAACTTTAAATACAGTCCAAACACTGTTGAGTCTTGATTTAAATTAAAGAGCTGGCACACTCGCTTTCCCTAAGGTTAAGCTTTTTCAAACATCTTTTTATTAGGCTACTGGATGAAGGTGCACATATTTTGGTGGACAGATGATTAGCTGGCTGTATTCACAAACTTACAAACTTCTATGCCTGAATGAAGAAAAACCTGACTATTCTGTCGGCCAGATACAAGTCAGCTCTCCTCCTCGTCTTAGTTCTAAAAGAGAAATAATGACAGTAGGAAATTGTAGTAACAGTGTGAAAAAAGTAAATGTGCCCCTCTGAGAAAAATAAGAGGCATAATATGGAAGTTAAAACAGGCCTTGAAACCAATGGCAGAACTCCTGTTGACTTCAGTGGCATCAGAATTTTACTCACGAAATCTAGACTTAAAGCATAAAAGAGAGATGTATAAAAGAAATGAGAAGTGAATAATTACTTACTGATTTTACCTTGCACTCAGGTTTCCATCCTAAGAAATCAGTTCAGATTCCATCAGCTCCATTTTTAAGAGCTGGAAATTGAAACCCTTACTTACAGTGCCTTGAAATCAGTGAAATGACTGATGGGGTAAGGCAAGTAGCTGAGCTGAAAAAATGTGCTCCCAAATTATGAATATATTCCTCTGATATTCATTCCTCAGCCACAGTAAATCCATGAAGACCACATCCTCATTACATGGGTGGACGATACATCTACATCTAAACAAACAGTAACCCTCGCTCTCTCATTGGGATTCTTGATACTCCAGTAAAACTATCAATTACGTTATAGATCACTACATTCCAGCATTCTTTAGTAGCAACATCCCTTAGCAGCCTTAACGTTCAAAAGCAATACTTTAAATTAAAACCATAAACCAATAAGTAACCAGATCACATCACAGAGCTCCAGCTGTGTGTACAGCCACTAAAACCCATCGCTCACTCACAGATCTTTCATTCCTGAAAGGAGTAGTTACTGTCTTCTGGCTTTTAACACAGAATAGAAAATGTTGCTGGACATCAGTACTATAAAATCATCCCCTGTAATTTAGGATACAACATAATCCTAAAACTGTGAATACAAGTTAGAAATGCTGAGGACAAGGATCTACTCAAGGCAGAGCAATCGGTCAGTTACTTTTTGCTATCTGTTAGTGAGGACTCCATCATATCTCTCTGTGGACCTTTAGTTAGGTCCCATCCCACATGTTTCTGTTTCCCTGTAGTCCTGAGTTAGATACTCAGCAGCTTAACTGTATCAGGAGTCAAAGAACTACAAACAGGAAGGTGATTCAGGTGCTAAATATCACATCACCGATCTCTTCCTAATTGCACCAACAGCCTTTCCTCAAAAGAGAGAAGTTCTGGACCTTCCAGGAAAGATTTGTTTCATGCTTGACTGATGTCAAAATTCCTTTACCTTCCAGTATTGCCACAAAATCCAGATAACTCAACCCTCCATCTGGTAACCCTAGCTTTTCTGTCAGCAGATTAAATTGACTGTCATCCATTGGCATACCATGGTCTTCCAACACCTGTTAGAAAGGAAATAAAATAAGTTACATAATGGCCTATTTTCTTGCTTAATATGCCATTTTGAATACTAAATATCTCTGTGTTTTATCATATACCTGAACTTGAAATTACTTTGAGAATTGATTGCTCTTCCTTACATTTACAGGAAGCCATTTAGATACAGTTTTATTCTGTACAACTTCAATTCTATGCAGAAAGAGATAGAGAGCAAAATTTGGCTATATTATTGAGACTGGCATTTTAAGGGAAAGAAGCGAGTGATAGGCTAAGATTAAACTTCACCTGGGAAGTAAAAACTTGCAAAAGAAATGACATTAGCTCATTTAGCAGACTGGAGGAAAACTGCCGTTTGTAGAATATGCTACTACCACTTTTCCCCACAAGCCTGCCACAACTACCTCCTGGACAAGAAATGCTGCAGAACGGATTCAGACCCCTGGATCACATATGGCTGCAGCAAGGTGAAAAGCAGGATTCCTTCTCCATTGCTGCTCTTCAAAGCAGATTTGAAGATCCATTTTGGGTAGTCTCCTTCCTTTTTTTTTTTTTTTTCCCCCCAGATCCTCTACCTCTCTGTCTCCACCTAAGAGGTACAGTAGTCAGGAGAGGAGACAGTCTCCCATTGCACCCCTCTTAGTGTTACCTGACAGTTGACTGTAGCGGGATCCCTGGTTTTCTTCTCCTTTTCCCACCTCCTGTTTCCCTCAAAAGTTGTAGTTGCAGCCCCTGCTGTGGCTGAGGGTTTTCTCCAAAACCTCTAATTTCCCTCAGCTGCTTTGTAACTTCTGATTTGGATGTATTTCTTTATAACTATCCTGCAGAGCTCTGTCCTGACTTTTTAAGTGTTCCTACAGCAATTATTCTTGCCATTATATTTTAGCTAATTGTACAGATTAAAAGAAAAAAAAAATCATTAAATAGCTGAACAGCATAAGGAGCGTTAAAAAAGGTGAGAATAATTAGAAAATTATCATCCCTTTCTATGAATGTAAAGCTTCTGGGTAACCAAGCACATTTTATGTTCAGTTGAACAAGTACTTACCGTCAGATCAAATGCTTAATAGTAGAGATAAGGAAATCTGGCTACACAAACCCAGTCAAAGCTGGAGAGAATCAGTCACAAAAGCAACATTGCTGACTACAGCCTCAACTATTAGCATTTTCATCTAGAGAACAAAAAAATTTATAAAACTCTGCCAAAACTGCATACAAGATGAAGTCATATTAAATTATATGGCTCGGTCATTGTCCTGTGCTGAAAGGCTCACAAAAGGCATAGTTCCTAAGTCTTATTTAAAGGACGATGATTGATGACAACCTGACAGGGAGGAGATGTTGTAATCCTTCACAAAAGTGAAGTCACTCATAGAAATTACGGATGTTACCCTGTACCCCGGGACCCCTGACAGAGCTTCTGTTGCCATCTTCCTGATTTTGAACTGTGTTAAAAATTAGACAAACCCAAAGGTGCAAAGGCAGGGTCTGTGCCTACTTGCCCAGTTCTGAGGAGAGCCAGGCCAGTGAAGCCAGAGGTTCTACGTTACTCTTTGGTAAAGCAGGTGGAGTTCAGCATCCCCCTTTGCTAACTCCACCTCACACCGTTGGTGCTCCACAGGCAGGCAGTTAAAAGACATCCCTATGCTGTTAGCTGTAAAGAAAAACACAGAGAACTGACAGTGTTGGTATAACCCTGCAAAGGTTAACTGGTGACTTTATGTCTGCATTTTGGGGTTATTCAGGCATACCAAGAATAATTACCGTTCCAAGGAATGTAAGGGTGCATTCTGCTCCCTTAATGCTGCTGTGGCATAATGTTACCCAAATAAACAGAGCTTAGTCACTTCCAAGTTGGGCAGACAGCTTTTGCCCACTTCTGTGGCTTGGTCTGAAATAACAAACCAGAAAACAAGTATGCTTTTGTGTTTATCACTACCACACTGCGCCAGAACTGTTTGAGTAACCTGTTCCACGTCTGAGGACAAGCAACTCTGCCCAGCTGTACACTAGCTGCCTGGTTGCTCTAAATGAAGCTGTAGGTCAGAGCAGCAGTTTCAAATGTGCCTATAAGGTGGGCAACAGCATTGGCACACCTGCCTGGCTACAGAGTCAGGATCCAGTCAAAGAACAGCATACCACTGTAGATCACTTTAACTTCGGTGGCATCCCAAAACACCTCACAACCTACCCACCTAAATGCACTCGGGACATGTCATATTGCCTACACCATTTGCAATAGCCTAATGCATTCAAAACATCTATATGCAGCTGGCAGATGTGATACAGCGTCCTACATCCTTCTGCAGCAGCAGTTGGAAGCCAGGGGAGATTTCCCACGATGCCTACAATGGTGCTAGATGCCCATTTCTAGATGTTCTTTATCTACCACTGAAACTCCATGAGTTCTGGGATGAACAGTAGCTGTGCTCCCAGGGCAGGGATTGATGAATATCTTGGTAGAAATGTCAGAGAAATTCACAGGAAGAATGTGAAAACTCCTATCTGAGATTCTACCTAGACAATGAGGTGTAAAAACCATTTCTTTTGCAAAAGGTGCAGAGATCTTTTAAGACCACAAGTGATGGAGAATCAGTTTCAGTCATTTCACCTGAAAACACACATGCCCAGGCAGTTCCAAGAGACATAAGGTAGTCTGTCACTTCAGTTCTGACGAGGAATAACTTTTAACCACCCTTATTCACACAGAGCTCTCATCCTCATTCATTCCAAGTTAGGTTTATTTGACTCAGCACAAGGCAGGGCAGCACAGGACCATCACAGAGAAAACATGCCACTTTGGAATAATCAAAATCAGCAGCGGCAGGGCAGAGTTCCCAGGCAGTATTCCACCCAGCTGGACTCTGCTGAGCTTGCAGGGTCCAAGAACATCACAGAGCAGTGACGCATATACCTGGCTGCAGGTAAATGATGTTTTTTTATCCTTTGTGCATTGCCAAAACTTGAGAAATACATCATCCATAGTGTAATAAAAGAATAATGAAATCACAAAGACTAACTGTTCAATAGCTTCTGGTGCTATATAAATACCTTAAACATGAGTTGTGCACAGACAGCCAACACAGAAGAAAAAGCAGCAGGTAGAATGAGTTTGTTCTGCCTAACAGTGACAAAACCCACGTTACTGCATTAGCTGCAGGCAATGTATAAGTCTCTTAGGTATCACATTGTAGTGTAAATCGCAGCAACCAAAGTCAATGTCCCAAAGCTATGTGCCACAGATGTCAGTTTGTATGGCAGGTTGCATTGCAGCTTAACACATCCTTAATAATTGTATTATTGACAAGAAAATATTAAGAAAAATGGAAAATGCTTTATGCGTTTTGTCCTCCATCTTTCCCTCCCCTTCGTTTCAAAGCAATTTCACTTCCTGCACACACTGCAGAAAGATAGCCACCAAAGAGTCAGAAGATGTGCTGCTGAATGCAGCTACAGTGTTCATGGGAGAAGGCTCTGTAGTAACAGCCTTCATCTCCTCATATGCTGTGAAGCACGTACCTCATGGGTCTATGTCTAGAAGGGGAGAAAGCAAGGCAACAGCTTGCCACCCTCTTACAGTCAGTACATTTGCCTCTGCAACAGCAGCTGGTGAAAACATGTCCAGTCCACAGTACATGGATGGGAAGATGATGTTTATTACTGAACCAGAGTAAAAACAGATTAGGACAAACTTTCTCAAGGGACTATGCAGGCCATTTCCAAAGGTGTAGTTCTAGTTTGAGCCTTGCTCACTCTTACCTTACCTTCAGTGCCCAGCCAAAGGGCAGAGTACACGTTACTGCCATAACACTATTCAGCAGCAGCTCGTGCTTAAACCTAGATAGACTATAGAAATATTACTGCCATCATGTCTCTTTTCCTGACTAGTCTCAACTTTTGGCAAAGCATTTTGCTTTGAAATGTGAAAAGCAAGAAATGTACAGCTGGGTGCCATCAGCATCACAGCTACAATCCCAAATCCATGACCTCACAAGTCTGTCCAAAGCACAATATGCAGTCAGATAAGCAATCAAGGCTATGATGGGTCCTGGGAACACCACAGAAAACCCCATCTCAAAAAAGACACCTACAAAATTTAATTGGAAGTCTTGGCAAGTAAAAACTATACTATTTCAATATGTTTGTATTATTGTGGATCCTCTCAGCACTGAGATTCTGTACCCAAATCAGGTAATCCAGTATCAAAAGCCATTCAACATCAAATAATTACATTGGAAAATTGAAACACGATCAAATCAACTGAATTCACATAAGAGCTACAGAAAGGTTCTCCTTTCCTATTGACAACCAGTCTATGCCCTGAAATGCTGCTAGAAATCCAGAGGAGATTTCCCCGACACAATCACTGCA